TCACCTGGTTTCTGCACAGAATGGCTCGTTCAGTTGGCCACTGCCAGGAGCTGGCTAAGAGAGGACTCTTGGAGAGAGTCCTCAGTATCCCAGGCAGGTCATTTTGCTAGGTCCTTGTAGCAGGGAAGGAGAAGAGAATGTATTTTGATGGAGTAGGACTTAGACTTCAGCCTCTGGGGCGGTGTCCTCTGGCCGGAGATATTCCCTGCCTTTATTTACCCTTCTGTAAAATGGGGGGAGCGCTCAGTAGCTGCATGGGGATCATAACACAATACTTGCAATGTCTCGGGCCTTCTGATGAGAGGTGCAGCAGCAGTAGGCACCTCTGCATGCATGGAGAAGCAATGTGCCTATCTTTGAAACTTTAAGCGGGCACTGGGAGCCCTGTTTTTTTAAAAAAAGGCCCTTCTCTTTCGGCCTGGATTTAAGCGGATTTAGAAGCTTACCAAACCAGTTATGAAACACTTTGGTGTATCTTCTTAAATGTTTCCTTCGCTGTCGGAAACCTGACTGCAGCTGACATGTTCTTGGGAGTGAAATCTGGGAAATCCAGGTGCCCAGAAACCATGAAGCTTGACCACTTGGTTTCACAGTGTCCAGGCTCAGGTAAATGGTAACGCACGTGGTTTTAATTGCTTTATCTGTTTAACCAGTCTGGATCATTTACTGGTAATGCGGTGAAGGTGATTCTTCAAATGATGACAGTGTCCTCTTAACTGTACCTGATTGGGTTGGATGTGTCCTGTCCACTCATTGCTGTCTGGCATTTTCATGAGACCCCAGCAACAACCAACCCTTGTCCTCGTGCATACATGCTCCTCAGAAAAGACATTTTTAAATAAGACCGTGTTCCAGCACCCCATGGGAAATAAAGATCAGGAATTCAAACCTGCTTTGATGGATCTTTCACACATGGCTTGTGTGTGTTTTGCTCTCTGCCCATCTCAGACTAGCCTAGGCTTCAAGTCTTCATTTCCCACCACCAAAATAGATATGCAGGCTGCAGCTGCAAGCCTATGCTAGACGCTGGAGCAGAAGTACTGAGCTGCGTTTACACTTCTGAAGTGCTCTAGGGAAGAAATCTCACCTTTAGCACCAGCTCTGAGTATTTAATTGGCTTTTAATTTCTTGTATAATCTTACATTTGTATCATTCTTGGTTCACACGTAGTCAGCATCCAGTCTAATCTGCTGTGGCCGCCTCTGAGGAGGAACATACCAGCTGTTTTAAAGCTCATAATAGAGGGAACTAACACAATGTCCAGTTGAAATGGTAGGGAAAGAACAAGGGTATATCATGGTTATCGAGTGTTAGGGAAAGTACAGGGGTATATCATGGTTATCGAGTGTAGGATTTACCCAGGACTCGGAATACAAAGTATTCTCTGAGAAGGGAAGTAAGTGATTCTTCCCCTCTATTCAGCACTGGCGAGGCCACATCTACAGTCCTGTGTCCAGTTGTGGGCCCCCCACTACAGAAAGGACGTGGACACATTGGATAGAGTCCAGCGGAGGGCAGCGAAAATGGTTGGGTGGTTGGGGGGCATGACTGGTGAGGAGAGGCTGAGGGAACTGGGCTTATTTAGATTGGAGAAGAGAAGACTGAGGGGGAATTTGATAGCAACCTTCACCTCCCTGCAGGGTGGGTCCAAAGAGGATGGAGCTCGACTGTTCTCACTGGTGGCAGATGACAGAGCAAGGAGCAATGGGCTCCAGTTGCAGCAAGGGAAGTTGAGGTTGGCTATTAGGAAAAACTCTCACTAGAAGGGTGGTGAAGCACTGCAACAGGCTACCCAGGGAGGTGGTGGAGTCTCTGTCCTTTGGGGTGTTTAAGGCCTGGTTTGATGCACCCTGGCTGGGATGATCTAGTTGGGGATGGTCCTGCCATGAGCAGGACTAGATGATCTCCTCAGGTCCTTTGCAACCCTCATTTTCTCTGGCTCTATGAATGCCTCTTTCCTTCCAAAATGCATCCTTTAAATGGATCAGGACCTTATAAAGCAATAAAACACCCTCAAGCAACATCTTGGAGCAATGACTCAGAGGGAAGAAGTCCTTGCAGCATCTTGGGTTTTCTAGTCTGTTTCCAGGTCAGGCCCTGACCGAGCCTTGACTCTGCCCAACTTGTTCAATCAGTTTGCCTGCAATGTTTGCCTGAAGGCGATGGTTTTCATCACCGGGTACCAAGGTGACTGATAACCTGGAGGGCTGAAAGCAAATGGCCAGCCCCAGTGATAACGTTCCTCAGCCGTACCCAGGATTTGCAGGTGGGAGGAGAGTGTAAACAGCCTGGGAGGAATTGGCTCTTGGAGTAGGGAAGAGTTCATCCCTGCTTACTTCTACCTTCTAACACATGGCTTCCAAGTTTCTGCCTTTTAAAAAGCTGTTTCTGCAGCTGGTATGTACATGCTCTGAATCCCTCCAGGGAGATGGAGATCTACACACTATTAAACAGGCCCCACCCTTCTCCCCTGACATTGAGTTTGCTCTTTGTTCCCAAGCATGGCAGTGCCTGCAGCTTGGCTGCTGTACTCAAGGGAGGTCTGATGGCAGCTGGGAGGCTGAGAGTCCAGGGATCGGTTTGTGAGAGCGAAAGGGGGCTGCTGCCAACAGCAAAGGGGGAGCCAGAAGTGTGTGTGACCCACATCAAGGTCAGATGAGGAAAGAAGAGTAGGGAATCGTAGTACTTGGGGTCACAAGGGACCTAAGCAGATGATCAGGTCCAACCCCCTGCCCTGGGCAGGAATGGGTGCTGTGGTCATATCACCCCAGCCAAATATCTGTCTAGCCTCCTCTTGAAGACCCCCAAGGTAGGAGAGAGCACCACCTCCCTTGGGAGCCCGTTCCAGAGCCTGGCAGCCCTAACTGTACAGTAATGTCTCCTGATGTCCAGCCTGAACCTTCTCTCTAACAATTTGTGACCATTATTCCTAGTAACCCCAGGTGGTGCCCGGGGGAACAGAGCTTTCTTCAATTCCCACTGGTCCTCCCTGGGATTCCTCCGGGTCCCCCCCTGTGAGTTTGTAAACGGCCACCAGATCCCCTCTTGGCCTTCTCTTTTGAAGGCTGAATAAGTTCAGGCCCTTTAGCCTGTCTTATAGATTCATAGATGTTAGGGTCGGAAGGGACCTCAATAGATCATCAAGTCCGACTCCCTGCATAAGCAGG